TAAATAAAATACAAGTCCATAACTAATGGATTAGTTAAAAGACTAATTTAGTCTTTTCTATATCTGGTGAACATTTCATTCTCCCAGTGCAGGCTTACCATGTCTAATTGTACAATTATTTTGTTTTTTTAGCTTTTGATTTTTGCCTTTATCCACCAGACCATAAGGTCAAAAACTGTTTGCTAAAGCAGTAAGTTATTGAAAACTGAACTATCTTTTGGGGTGTTTGGGAAAGGGATTACTACCCCATGTCATAAAAGCAGACACTGAGGTGCAGAGAGGATAACTTGCTGGCTATATGAACTAAGAAGCTGACCTGGGCCTTGAGCCACCTGAATCCAAGTGATCCATCCACCTCCAGTTGCCCTGGGACATAACTGGATAGGACAACCCCAGGGAATATTTCTGAGGCAACTAAGGCAGGCAGTTATAGAGTCCAACAGAGAAGATTTCTAATGTGACCTTGGACTGACTACCAATGGTGATTTTCCTTTGAACACTTCTCTTTACTCCACTCTAATTAGTTTTCATCACTGAATTAGGATAATATTTCAATCAGATACACCTAAGGAACACTTGATAACAAGACAATGAATACCTTGAAATCCAGTCTGTGCCTGTATTCCTTGCCGGTGTGCCCCATGAACTAGAACACTTCCTGGTACATGGTAGGTGCTCACTAAATATTGTGAATAATACGGGGAAAGAAGAAGGGTATAGACATGGCCATCTTCTCTGTCAACTGGTAAAGCTTTTCCATTAATTCTCAAGTCAGATCCCTCAGGTTAATCACATATGGATGCTGAGATCCAAGCTCTTCCCTCACTCTTCTATTCCTCAACCATGGAATTGTAAAGAAAAGGAACAACTGGATACTCAGTGTTGGCTGGAGGTTTGGGGCAAGAGAGTGAAACAGAAGATCCTGGACAGGATATTTGGCAGCTCCGTGGCTTCAGTTGGAGCAGCAAGGAGTCATGCTGGCCAGACTCAGGGAGTACAGGACATTGGAAGTTTACTCCCATTACTACCCCTAGTCCTATGGGCAAAAAGAGGGAGCTCAAGTTCAATCCCATAAGCAAAAGTGTCAATGTTCAGGTCCGAGAGACATAAGAAATCAAACTTGGCTTAAAAAAAAAAAAAACAAGTAAAGCCTGGAGTGATTGCCCCAAAGCAATACCTGCTTCAAGATATCACATCAGAATCCACAGCCTCTCCTCTGCTTTTCTTTGCTTATAAATTCAACCAGAAAGCTTGTGGGAGGAAAAATATTTATTTCATTTTACTATAAACTATGGCACCCAAAAACTGAACTTGCTGTGGTCAAGATGGAAATCCAGCCACTCCAGAGTTTTACCCATTCCCTCTCTCCCTCATTCACCAAATTAGTCAGTATTTATTAGTCACCATCAGTAGGCACAGGCTTCTGTTCCATGCAGTGGGAAGCATAAGGACATACAACTTTCCAGAACAGTAACAATTTTCCAGAAGTCTTGGTTGAAGTGTCTGAATACCAAATAAATGGATAAGGTATTTACTTATTAATAAATATTGATGATGCAAAGCAAAATTTGTGTAAGAGTTAAATTTATAGAGAATATAGATACAGTTCTATATTCTCTTTTTATCACTTTCTTATAAGCTTTACTTATGTCCTTCAAAATTCTTCATATAACTAGCACGTTTAATCACATGTTTTTCCATATATCTTCTCACAGGGGCTACCTTGGATATTGAGACTTGAATTTGTGCTTATATGTGGAGTAGATAATCTGTCACATCTCCTGCTACTTAGAACAACTGGATAAAATATAGCAAACATAAAATAGCTCCTAGAACATTTGAGACCTTCAATGTAAGAAATGTGCCCAGTGGAGTGTCATGAGGTTCAACCTAGTCCTCATCTCCTTTGTGCTAATGTATTAACAGCTATGTCTTTGGATCAAGACTGACAGGTAGAATCCTGGCAGCACCTCTTATCAACTGGGTAAGGCTGAGAAAGCAACTAACCTGTCCTGCCTCATAATTCCATCTATAGCATGAGTTGTTGTTGTTATTATTGTTGTTGTTGTTTATCTGTTCTGTTGTGATGAGGAGCTGGTAAAGTCCTTTGCTCTGTGCCCAGCATATACTTACTTCTCACTAAATGTTAGCTTTTACCATACTATGAGCCCCACTAAAAAGAAGAATTCAGGATTCAGAGAGGGCCAGAAAAACTCACAACCACATTTCAAAGCCAGGCTCCTACTCCACATATCTTCCCACTACTGTCTCTTATCTGTAGATGAAAAGCTGGTGCTGAGCCAAGTAAGGTAAGAGTCAAGGTCCAAGAGTCCCAGGTCAGGGAAGAGGAGTAAAGTTAAGGATGAAAAATAACCACAGAATTAGAGGAAAGTTCAGTGGAATGGGATGTAAATAGCTGCATGCCCTTTCCCCTGGCTTTTTGTAGGATAAAGAAGGGCGGGGGGAGCTAGTCCCATTGTTTATGTAATGGATTACTTGTTATTAGGAAAGGTAAAGGTGAAGGTTGTTGGAAACATTTCAGAAGTTGTCAGGGGAGGCAGTTTTATAGTCCAATAGAGAACAATTCTAATCCTACCACAGACTACCAATGGTCATCTGTCTTTTCAAAAAAACATCACTTTGCCACTCTGCCATCAATTTCTTATCACTAAAATAAGAATAATAGTTCAACCAATCATACTTACTGAGCATTTGGTAAACTAGATTATGAATTTTTTAAGTCAGGATTCATATCTATTTTTATTGCTGTTGTGCCTACTATCTACCATCCTGCCTGGTTCCCAGGAAGTACCCAATGGATTGTCATTAGCAGGATGCCAGATTAGAGGTACCAAGCACACTTCCCTCCACGAACAAGGATTAAATCAAAGAAAACAAAACTACCATCTCACTGGAGTGATTGAAGGAAGTGTAGGAGTGCAGGGTCATGATGGAGACCACACAGCCTACATATCCAGGATGGCTTTCCAAAGAAGAAAATGGAGCACACAGTACCTACCATCACATCTCTCCAAGCAAGGTAAAACCTAAATTTCACACAGTAAATATGAGGCCCACAGCAGTCCCCAGTGAACCCTCCAATACCTGAAGAATTTGCTACTGGATAAGCCTGCAACCTTCACAGGGTGTTCAGAGCTGCCAGAGAATCTACACTGATTCAACACCCCCAAAGGAAGAGTCCTGCCCATTTTCTACCCTCCACTACACATGCTTCTACTGAGCAACAGCACCTTGAGGCTCACTCAAGTGTAGTCCTATGATGCAGCAAGTCCACCAAGACTACAGAAAGAACCTCAGGGACCTCTTCCACCCACCAGCAGCCCTGGTAAACAGCTGGGCAGCCCCCTCTGCGTAAACCATTGAGCTTACTCCCCATGAAGGAACCTGTGCAGCCCTTAGAAATTGGCTGACACCAAACCCAGGCCCACGGATGCATCTCACTAGTGATAGATATTTTCAGGACACAGCTGAGGAGTGCCCACTCCTCCTGCTGTGAATGCTCCATTCATCCAGGCCTGCCAGCGGGGCCTGACTCTAACATTTTCTCACTCAAATGTGAAAGCTAAGAAGTTGGTTTTATGGAAGTAGAATGTAAAAGAGTGGTCACTACAGACTAGGAAGGGTGGGGGAAAGAGGGATAGAGGGAGTTTGGATCAGGGATACCAAACTACACTTAGGAGAGAGGTTTAGGTACCACCACAGCACAGGGGGGTAACTACAGTTCAAAAAAAATTATTATATATCTTATAAAGACAAAGAAGAGTTCAAACCTTCCCAGAAGAGAGAAACAATAGCCTGAAGAGCCAGCCTTCTAGTGGAAGAGGGGAAACTGAGGATTCCTCAGGCCACAGCTGAGCAGCCTCCTGTGGTCTGTTCCAACACCCCCATTGGCACCAAGACAAAAGGAAAAGAGTATGAGGTCAGAGAGTGGTCGAGCGTCCTCGCTTGCAGTACAAGAAGAACATGACCAAAAAGGCTCCTGCAGCAGAGGGGTTAAAAACCAGTGGGAGGTGTGTAAAGGCGGAAGGAAACCCTACCTGCTCCAGAAAAGTAAAGATAGCATGGGATGGAGAATAGGCACGCTCAGTTCAAAGGAGGGGCACCAAAGAATTCATTGATAATGGGCCAAGGAAGGGAGAAGCTACAGGAAAAGGCTTGTGAGCTGAAGCTAAGACTTCTCCCATCAGAGGCAGTAGGAGCTGGCAAATGTGCCCAAAGCCCACATGGGCATGCTCAGCCCCCTCAGGAAGTGGCTGAATGCTTCATGGAGCAATGCAAGACACTCATTCACCACAGCCCTGGACACCAGGCAGCAACAGCTGCCCATGAGATGGATACACATGGTGGGAGACTGGCAGGTGTGGTACTTAGATGCTCTAAATTGATGAGCACTCACCTCCTACCAGGAGAACTTGGCATGGGCAATTCCAATGTAAATATGCAGGTGTTGGACTTCCTGAGTGAACTCAAGGAACTTTCTGCTGAGACCAGATAAGTGGCAGCCTTAATAAACCATGAAGTCTGGGGAAAAGCCCAGGGCATGGTGACCCTCACTTTAGACACGTTTTAGCAGAATAGCTATTTTTGTGTGATAATCTTGTTAGATAGTTTAAAATAATAAATTAAAACTTTTGCAGTAGAAAAAAAAGAAATGATAAATATGTAAGAAGAAAGAAATAATAATTATCTTGATTTGATCAGAACATGCTGTATTCATGTACTAAAATATCACACTGTACCCCATAAGTGTGTACAAAAAAAAATAATACGGAGAGGGGAAAGTGGGTGTGTGCATGACCATTACCACTGTCAGCTGACTAAAAATTTCTGCCTCCCAAGGAGAATCGTGTGGATGTTTCAGGTTAATCGACTCTGGACTCTGAGGTCAAGCTCTGCCCTCATTTCTAGGTGGGCGTGGAAATCCTCCCAGAACATAAGTAGTGGAAGTCAAGGGTGACAGCGACAGACACTGATCCAGAAGCTGCTGCACCATGAGTGTCTCTGCACTGAGCCTCACCAGACTCCCAGGGAGCATCTCTGGATTCCTCCAGCTGGCTTCCCTGCTGGGCTTGCTTCTGTTCCTGTTCAAGGCAGCCCAGCTCTACCTGCGCAGGCAGTGGCTGCTCAAAGCCTTTCAGCAGTTTCCATCTGCACCCTCCCATTGGCTCTTTGGCCACAAGGTAGGAACCAATGGAAAGGGGAGTAGGAGGGAGGGAGGCTGTAGCCTGGAGACTGGCCAGGAAGTCCACAGGACAAAGCCTGTTGCATGCACTAGGCATCTGAGGAAACCCAGATTATCTCTTAGGTTTGGCCCATCCCAGCACCAGGAGCTCACTCCCTCAAAAGAAGCCTGTCCTGCTGTTACTCAGCTCTGTCACTCACTGCATCACCAGGCAGATCTGACATCTGTCCTGGCAGCCCTGCATTTGGAGGACTGTGGTTGGTCCTTTCTGAGTCTCCTCCTTTCCAAGCTGAGCACTGCTATCTTCCTCAGCTCTTCTCAAAGAACCAGCCTCCTAGATGCTCACCTGCCCCAGTCACTGAATGCCATCAGTGCGTGATCTGGAGCTTGCCTCGATTTTTATGGAACCTCATAAAAATTGCCTTGAGGAATTATGCTGTGTGGTGACAATTTTAAAGACCCTCAAAAGACTTCAAACCACAGTAAAAGAGCTTACTTTGCTGGAGTGGGTGGGGAATGTCAAGTAGAGGGACCAACCAGCTAGGTTTGCTGAAGATCAAGGGAATTTTCACAAAAGGTGATTTTAGGGACTGAAACCCTGATGATCATAGGCCCATGTGAGTGGGACAGAAGCACTGTACCTTCCAGGTGAGAGAGACCGATGTTTGAGTTACCCTATTAGACAAATTCTGTTTAGCTCCCACTCACCCTGCACTGTGAGGTCCTTTGCTATAACTCAGTGCCCAGCACAGAGCCTGGCACAGGTGTGTAGAGTCACAGAAAAAGGAGGGAAAGAAGAAGTCAAAGGGCTGGGGAGGTGCAGTACCAACCCCCTATCCTGACAGCCCTGGGGAAGGAAGGCACAAAGCAATGTAAGGAGCACAGAGAGGGGCTCAGCAAGGGATTGTGCATTGAACACACTTAAGAGGAGGAGGAAGATATGGAGCTTATGTCAAGAACGAGGCTCTGATGCCAACAGCTCCATCCTACAGGGCCAAAGGATCCCAGCTTTGAGCAAGTGCTGGGAGACACCAAAGTTCTGGAAGTCAGCACAGATAGGTTAGCAAAAACAGCTCCAAATCTCTAACATCTCTTGAAAGATCCATAACTATGTCCCTGTGGTCACCCTGATCATCACTCTATTGCAAGGACTAGACCTAAACAAAAGATTTTATTCATTTGTCTTTCCTTTGATGACAGATCCAAAAGGATCAGGAGCTAAAGCAGATTCTGTCATGGGTAGAGAAGTTCCCCAGTGCCTTTCCCCGTTGGTTCTGGGGCAGCAAAGCTCACATTGTTATCTATGACCCTGACTACATGAAGGTGATTCTGGGGAGATCAGGTGAGAGAGAAACCTCATTCTGGCAAGAGAAGCTCCTCCCTCTTTAGTATATGCCCCTGGTCTGTCATATTCCAGAGCAGAGTGGTGCTTTAGCCATCAACCCTAACCACTACCAACCATTTGCCCAGGCCACAACCCAGCAAATGGCCCAAATACTGGAGATATAACACAGCTGTGTGGAGCGAAACTTTTTAAACGTTTTTATCTTTCTTTTTAAATCAAATCTTGAGGCAATCTGTTATGCAAATTGCCCCAGATCCAAAAAAAAAAAACTTCATATCCACACTGACTTGTATTCAAAACCTCTAATTGTCACCTGACTTGGGTCACAGGATGACTAAGCCACCATCCATTATCGAAAAACAATGAAGCTCTGTCCTGTTCTTTAGCACTGATGACATGGCCTGTTTCTCTTCATCATAGTCCTGGGGGTGTTCAGCTTCTGGTCTATGGAGCTGCCTTCCTGAGCCCAGCTGACTATCAGGACAGAGAAGGGATGGGAGGGAACAAATTGCCAACTGGTAGTCATCAAGAACTCGTGGCAGCACATAGTCTACACCACAGCTACCTTGGGACTGCACTGTTTGGTCCCCAGTTTCCTGTTAAGCCTTTACTTTAAACCTTTCAGATCCAAAGGCCTCTGGTACCTACAGATTCCTGGCTCCCTGGATTGGTATGTATGTCTCTAGTTAGGTTTCCAGTGTTATTTTCTGGTTCACAAGATCAACAGGTGACAGGCCAAGGAATGTCCCATCCCAAAATCAAGTCTCATTTCTTCTAACCATACCCTCTTTCCTTCCTGTGCTGGTATGAGACCTCCTAGTCTTCTGCCGTCTCTCTACTCCAAACATCCCAGGCTGACATTTAATGATGGCCTTTCTTTTCCTGCCCACAACACTTTTTCAGCCTTCATCTCACAGCTTTCATGATCATAGCCAGATATACCAGCCCATTTAGGAAATTCACATTCCTGAAATGCAACATGTCCCTCCTTCCTTTGTCCAAGAAATTCCACCTTCTTCAATGTTATCTTCCCCATAGTACCTCCCTAATTATCCCAGAGGTATCTCTGATTCTGTATCTTCAATCCCATACACATATCCATCTCTGGTCCAGGGTATGGTTTGCTCCTGTTAAATGAACAGACGTGGTTCCAGCACCGGCGGATGTTGACCCCAGCCTTCCACTAYGACATCCTGAAGCCCTACGTGGGAATCGTGGCTGACTCTGTCCGAGTGATGTTGGTGAGTCTCTCTCTTTCATTTCCACTCACTCACTCAGGAGCCCCTCTCAGATTCCCCTGTCTAACACAGAGAGCCATCAGACAGAGTCAGATGAAATAACACTCTCAGGATGTTACTGTGAGAGTAGATTCCTAAAAATTAGATGGGACAGAGAAGACCAAGGCATCAGGATAGAGCCACACTTCGCTTATGGTGCAAGTCAGAAAGCATCAAGGTGGATACAGACCCTGTCTCCCACTTCCAAGTCTTCAGAACAGTCAACTGGAGGAGTAGTCAATCATGCCAGACAGCAGGACTGGCTGACCTGGGCAATGGCAGCTTCAAAGGCAGGCTAGAACTGCCAGGATGTCACTCAGTCAGGCTCTGACCTAAGGCCCGGGGCTTTTGCATGGACTTGAGTAACATATGCAATGAAAAGGATACCAGGTCTGCATTCTCACTGCCACTCTGCCATGCCATCAATTGCAACATAAACTCCAATTTATTTTTATTAGTGCACTTTTTTAGTGCAATAGTTATACACAATTGTTGGGTTCATTCTGGCAAAATCATATAGCAAAAAATTTAATTTTCTCCAGTTCAGTCACTGGTGCCCCTTCCTGTTCCTCCCCTCCTCCCTCCCCCTATTCTTCTTCCTCTTCTCTATTGCTCTTCCTTTCGCTCATTTATTTACTTATTTTTTGATCAGTGCTTTATAGATACACATAAAAGTGAAATTCACTGTGGTATATTTATACATGCACATAGCATAATTTTGTCAAATTTATTCCTAATTTCCTCTCCTTTCCCAACCCTCCCCTTCCCTCTCAACCCTGTCTTCTACATCACTGATCTTCTCTATATTTTTATGATATCTGACATCCCTTCCCCTTTTTCCTTATTTTGCTTTACCTTCCGCATATGACAAAAAAAAAAAAAAACATTCAACCTTGATTTTCTGAGTCTGGCTTATTTCACTTAGCATGATGTTCTCCAGTCCCATTCATTTACCAGCAAATGCCATAATTCTACTCCTCTTTGGAGCTCCATAAAACTCCATTATGTATATATRCACCACATTTTGTTTATCCATTTAACTGTTAACAGGCATCTGGGCTGGTTTTATGTCTTGGTTGTTATGAATTGTGCTGCTATAAACTATGAAGTGGCCATATCACTATGGTATACTGATTTTCGACCTTTTGGATAAATACCAAGGAGCTGGATCATATGGTGGATCCATTCCTAGTTTTTTGAGGAACCCCCATACTGTTTTCCAGAGTAGTTATATTAATTTACAGTCCCACCAACAATGTATGAGTGTACTTTTCCCCCACATCCTCACCAGGTTTTATTGTCATTTACATTCTTGATAATTGCCATTCTTACAGGATTCAGATAAAGCCTTAGTATAGTCAAAAGTCTGATTTCTGACCCAATTGTTCTCAGTAAACTTTTGTTGAATAAACAGAAATCAAAGTCCCTGGTGGCCCACTAGAAGTGCCTATAGCAGCAACTTAGGTTTTAGGTTTTCTTTTGCCTCCAGACATTTGTCCCCTAAAATTAGAGTTCCTACCAGTCCCTCAGATGGAGCTCAGCTCTATATTTTGCTGGTCAAACAAAGCATTATAACTGACTTTCAAAATTCAAAATTTATTATAGAATACTATGCTTAATTTTTAAATAATTTGTGAAAATATAGGCACCATTTAACAAGCATTTGTTTCAGCAGTTTTTAGTGCATCTGCTCTCTCAAGTGAGGGACATGGAATGGGATATCTGGAGATGCACAAGCCTTCTAGGGAAAATGAGAAGATCATTGCCCCTATCCCACAACAGGACAAATGGGAAAAACTCATTGACAAGGACTCCTCTGTGGAGGTCTTCCAGCACATCTCCATGATGACCCTGGACTCCATCATGAAGTGCGCCTTCAGTTACCAAGGCAATGTCCAGTTGGACAGGTCAGTGACAACCCTTCAGCTACAGAGTCCTTGTTCTTAACCAATTGGTGTGGACTCCCCTGAGAGGCAGAAAGATCAGTATGGATCATCACCCCCACACAAAGAGAGATTCTGATCCCAGCCCCAGACCAAGCCCTAATTCCCTACCAAAATCAACCCTGTCCCAGCCACAGAACCCTGATCCCCAACACAGGTGGCAGCCTGGTCACAAGGTCTGTAAGGCAGAAGTAATGTGTGTCTTAGTGTTGTCTGTCCCCACAATTCAGGAAAACTCCACAACAGAGCCCACTCTGCCTGCAGGTCCTCTCTCTTCACAGTCCAAAATGTTCTGCATCCTCTCCCTCAGGCATTCCCAGTCCTACATCAAAGCCATTGGGGACCTGAACAACCTGTTTTCTGACCGTGTAAGAAATGTCTTTCACCAGAACGACACCATCTATGGTCTGTCCTCTGATGGCCGCTTGTTCCACCGTGCCTGCCAACTTGCCCATGAGCACACAGGTTCTGTCTCCTCCTTGCCTCCTCTCCTTTACCAGGGGCAGTCTCATAGAGCTGGTTATGACCCCTCAGGCACAGCCAGGTCCTCTGGTATTCCAGCAGGACTTGGGACACACAAACGCTGAGTACTTCCCTACTGCAAGGGTTGGGAGCTGAAATATTAAGGTGCAAGACAGTGTGCAAGGGATTACTTGTGCCATCTCAATGGTAATATTGATGAGACCCATCCTGAATGCTTATATAAATACTTTATGTGCTGTACTCTAGATGGGAGGTTTGACCTGCATTTGATAGTTCTGGGCCCCCTGACCCACACACCACACTCATCCTGAGTTCTACAAGGCACCCAAATTGGTGCAGGGAGGCACATGAAGCTTCTGGGGGTTTCTGTGACTCTCATCCCTGCCTGGTAACTGCTGTTCTGGGACAGACCAAGTGATCAAAGAAAGGAAGGCTCAGCTGCAGAACGAGAGAGAGCTGGAGAAGATCAGGAGGAAGAGGCGCTTGGATTTCCTGGACATCCTCTTATTTGCCAAAGTGAGTATGTGGGAAAGAAACCTGGGGCTTTGCCCAGGGGAGGGAGTTTACAAACCCTGCTCTCTTATCTATGGCCTCCCCAGATGGAGAATGAGAGCAGCCTGTCTGATGAGGACCTGCGTGCCGAGGTGGACACCTTCATGTTTGAGGGCCATGACACCACAGCCAGTGCTATCTCCTGGATCTTCTACGCTCTGGCCACATACCCCGAGCATCAGAAGAAGTGCAGGGAGGAGGTCCAGAGCCTCCTGGGGGATGGAGACTCCATCACCTGGTGAGTGAGAGCTCAAGAGGTGGGAGAGCCCTGCCTCTGGTAGGGACAAGCTGCTAGACTTCCCGGGTCCTGCCTTCTGCTCATGATGGCTTCACTTCAGGGACCACATGGACCAGATGCCCTATACCACCATGTGCATCAAGGAGGCCCTGAGGATCTACCCACCAGTACCAGTTGTTATCAGAGAGCTCAAAACACCTGTCACCTTCCCTGATGGACGCTCTTTACCCAAAGGTCTGATCTTCCCAGACTCATTCACATAAGATCTCCCCAGAGATAAGAAGGATCAGAAATCCCCACGTGCTTCAGCAGTTCTGAACCTGCCTATGCCTCCCTGTGTATTTTCCAGTACATATGCCCAAAACCTATAAATTTCCTTCCAATTCTAATAGTCCACATAACTAGCATCCTAAACTTATCTTGTTCTTTAGCTAACATTCCTTCTTCTTTAGAATCTCTGGTCTTGTGGTGCTGTAGTTAATTTTAGTCTATTGGCACTGATGTTCTTTGATTCTAGTTCAACACTATAGGAATCATGGGCATCCCTGATGTTCATATGTCCTCATTGTCATATCATTTTTAATCATCCACTATATTTGGTATAATGTGTAGAAAACTTGGTAAAATGCAAATAATTATGTGCCCACATCTATGAATGTGATGCATCTCAATCCCTAGAAACTTCTTTACAGAGCTGTCAGCCTCTGGATGTAGTATCTCATGACTTTAGCTCTAAAATTCTATTTCCTGAGATGTGGAAGGTAGAGAATTATCTGACAGGGGCTAGGGAGAAGTGGTTCTTTGGTTCAGTCAAGGCAAATAAAAGAAATCAGTGAATTTCATGGAATGGGTCAGATGTGGTCCAGTCCCTCAGGAGCCATCAGGTTGATGACAGAGAGCAGCTTATGACCAAATATGAGATCCCTGCCATGGTAGCCGACCATCTGTTGGCTCATACCTCCTTGGGTCTGAATCCCAGCCCTGCCACATCCTACCTATGTGATCATAGGTAATTTCTCTCTGAAATTTAATTGCCTCATCTGAAAAATAGGGATCCAGCCATCTTCCCTGGCAGGTTGTTGTAAGGACTGAATGAATTAATGTGTACTCCTCAGTGGGAATTTTTCAAAAGAATAAGCTCTCGTTAGATGTATTCCCAAAAGTAAGGTACGACGCTTTCATGCTTCTCTCTTGGATTTGTGGTTTTCTACTCCTTGCCAGGGCTCAGGTGTTTTGTCAAATCCACGCACATTCTGCTCAAAGTCATGCTTTATGGCAGCAGCCTTCTGTGCGTGCATGTCCCCTGCTGGCGGGAGGATCAGGGCCTCACCCCATGGGCATCATTGGTCTTCTCTCTACCCCACAGGCATCGTGGTCACGCTGTCCTTTTATGGCCTTCACCACAACTCAAAAGTGTGGCCAAACCCAGAGGTATGGAGGTCCAGAGGGGATGGGAGGAAATGATCTCTGAGGATACCACCTCCCTCTACACCCACCTCTGAATAGTCTGTCCCCACGTGGATCAGAATCAGGAGCTTGACCTCTGTCTATCCTGGTCCTGCTGCTCTCTCTCTGCAGGTGTATGACCCTTTCCGGTTTGCACCAGATTCTTCCCGACACAGTCACTCATTCCTGCCTTTCTCAGGAGGAGCCAGGTGAGGAGTCCTATCTTGGTCGTGGGATGGGGGAAAGAGGAGTCGTCTCTGGGCATATACCCAAAGTTTGTGATCCCTTAAGTTTCTGTACAGCATCTTCAGGGATGGTGGAAAGAAACCTCATGTGGGCATGTCAGTGCATGAAAGAACGATGGCAGTGCAGGGCACACCACGGACATGCTGGTCCTCTGCCCTTCCCGAGGTCAGACAGATTTCACTGTCAGAGAGCGTCCCACACATCAGCATGTTCTGGTGTTTTTCTCACTTTGAGGATATAACTTTGTGAATTAGAAATTCTCTTATAAATTTCACTTCAGTTGCCAGGATTCTTACCAGGTGGAGCCCTCTCTTCCCACACATTCTAAATCCAGCCCAACTCCCTTTCTGTTCAAGTCACCAATCCTCAGATCACTGAAGGAAGTGACGACTTTGCTAGTGTTTGTTTTCCCAAGGCCTGGAATGTGCCAACTGTTCAGTTAGAGACCGAAAGGTGAGCTATTTGAAGAAAGTGTCCCACCAGTGTATATGGCCCCTTAGCCTCCACGTTTGCAGTCTCTCCCAACATGATGTTTGACTACATGTTAATGTTCACACTCCCCGTACAACATTCCTAGTTGTCAAAATTTGACAGGTGAAGTAAGGTCTACATACCTTGAAATTACACTTACAGTCCAGCTTCAGACAAAAAGCATTAAAATGAGGAAAGTAAACTGCCTTTGAGAGAAAGCCACTCTATTTGATATGTGGCACATAACATTTGAAAGCTTCCTCCAAAAGGGTTCACTCCAAAAGGGCTGCTGCCTTCATCCACAAAAGCTGCTGAAATCATCCAGTGAGACAAAACATCATATAAATTTTACTAAAAGCTAATAGAAGTAGGCTTTTTCCTCAGCCCATATGCCTATGAATCCTTCAAATGGTAAGTTAGCTTTCATAGAAGAGGCTTTAAGCAAATTGTTTTTCCAGAAATTGGTTTTCTAGGATTTGTTAAATTCCTGGAGTACTTCTCCCTACGATGGCTGCAAATCATGTTGCTGCCACTAGGGGGCAGGAAAGTATTAGATAGGTTAGGTCAAAACCAATATTGCCTTTTGTCTTATTCCATTCTGTTTTACATTCTGCTTTACATTCCATTACTAAATTTAAGTGAACCGAATTTTTAAAATCAAGTGACATTAATGAACTTAATTCAGTGTAAGATAAATTATTAAGCCAGCCTCTCTGTGCCAGGCCCTATATAGGCTAGGTGACAGGAACATCGAGATGAAAGATATTGTCACTGACTCCAAGAATTTTAAGTCAAGGAAAAAAGTGCATTCTCTAGAGACAAATACCTAAGCTTAAGACACATTGTTCCCTTCTTCATTCTTTCACTCACTCATCTGAGCAGTTTGTAAAGTATTCCACATCCCTGGCACTGTGCAGACTGGCCCTGGACTATGGTGTGTCCTTAAATAAAGCTTGGACGGCACCTTTAAGGCCTGGGAGGGGGAAGGAGAGGCAGCTGGCATGGGGTGAGGACCAACTGATCGCTGATCTGAGATTTTAGAATATGTAGGCAGAGATGGAAGCGAACATTCTCTATGATCCCCACAGCCTGAGCTGAGCTAGGAAGTGAGGCTGGACAGGCAGGAGGTGGGTAAAGCAGCAATCCAGAGAGATGTGGAGGGAGCTTGGGTATTTGGACATGGAGAGCATGATGGAAGGCATGGGAAGGTCTGAGTTGGGCTGTGGCTTGGTGTGTAGGAGAGGGATGCAGGAACCGCAGAAGAGTCCAGGAGAGGATTCAATCTTCAGCTAAAGATGGCAAACAGGGAAAGTTCTGGAGTATAAGTAGAAGGATGCAGATACTAGTGGAATGAGGGGGTTGGAGAGTGGCAGGAGCCTAATCACCCTGTGGGTGGCAGATGGGGCTGCAGCTCAAAGTTCCCCAACCCATCTCCTACTCTAGGAGTTTCTTCATTGATATCTGGCTTCCCTGTGAGGAATTCAGTCCCTAGATCCTCTTAGATGGAATGTACAATCAAAAACTAATTATTTAAGTGATTGGACTCTGTCCCTTAGAGTACTGGTGCTGTCCTAATAGAAATTTCCTGCTTCTGAAAGCAAAAGTAGCATCAGGGCCAGTCTTCAAACAGTCATAGACCTTGTCAAAGATCAGGAGAGTATGAACCATGGCTTGGAGGTAGAGGAATGTGTGATCTGTAAGTAAAGGTGTCAGGCAGGCCCCATGGAGCCTGAATGCCCAGCTCTGGGCTGGTGCTCAGGGACCGCTGCCTGCCCAGCCTAGAACAGGCCTAAGACCTATGCTTACTTCACTGTCCCTGCCTGGCCCAGGAACTGCATTGGGAAACAGTTTGCCATGAATGAGCTGAAGGTGGCTGTGGCCCTGACCCTGCTCCGCTTTGAGCTGCTGCCAGATCCCACCAGGATCCCCCTTCCCATACCGCGACTTGTATTAAAGTCCAAGAATGGGATCCACCTGCGTCTCAGAAAACTCCACTAACACTGGTAGGTCAAGAGCAGGCTCTGAAGGCCTCCTAGCTGTGTTGTCACCTGCTCCTGTCCCCACCTATCTGCCCACATCCTGCTTTCCTGTCTACCTACCTGCCTTTCTTCCCATCTGCCTGTTCCCTGTCCTCCTGTCTGTCCTCTCACCTGCCTCCAGGCTCCCTACCTGTTTGTCTCTCTACCTGTCTCCCACCTGCCTACATCTCTGACTATGCACATAACCCAGCCTGCCTGCCCCTCTGCCTGTCTTTTCCCTTTCCTCCTACATGTTTTTCTCTCTCTCTGAGTTTCCTAACACTGCTATAATAACCACAACCTTAGTGGTTTTAAATAATGGGAATTATTATTCTTTTACAGTTCTGGAATCAGAAATCCAAAGTGGGTATCATTGGTATCAATGAGAGAAGACCAAATTGTGGATGTAACCAGCCTTCCTCTGCAGGGTTTAGAGAGAATCTTGACCCTTGACTTCTCAGACTCGAGCTGCATTCCTTGCTTTCCTCCATACTGGCTCCCTTGTACTTCTTTGAAGCCAGCATCTTTTCAAACTTCTTTCTCTTACTGTCTTCACATTTCCTTCCTGTTTGTAAGGAACCTTATCATTACATCAAGTCCATCCAGGTGATCCAAGATAATTTCCCCATCTCAAGATCCTTTACTTAATGAAAACTTGAGTTCCTTTTGACATATGAGGTAACGTATTCATGGGCTCTAAAGTTTAGGACTTGAGCAACATTAGAAGCCAATAATGAACCCCACAGAATCCCTCCCCAAATGGCACCTCATCTGTCTATCTGAACCTCTCCTGATGGTTTCTGTCTACCTGATTGTCTTTCACATAAACCTCTCCATCTCCCTCCCTGAAATAAAGTTTCTAATGTCACCTGTAGTGCCTGTCTTCCCTTGGGAGGAGATAGAGGGAAAGGGAGACAGGCGGGGAGACAAGTCTTTTCTGAGGAAGGAGCAGATGACATTTGCCCTGTAGTACCAGGACTGACTCCTGCCTGGCCCACCTCTCCAGACATCTCACCCATATGAACCCTGATGCCCCATGGCTGATGAGGGTCCCATGTAGTGGCTGTGTTTAGAAAAAAAATCTCTTGTCTGGGAGCTCAGAGGGAGAGGCTCACACCTTTGGGGGAAAAAAAGACCAGGCCTCCATTCTATTCAAGGGATGTTTCTCATGCTAGATTTTTTCAGAATAGGTCCCAGCTAGAGCCCTTCTTGAGTTGAGCTGAGCAGGAAAGACTTGTAGTCCTGGTCTGGCATGAGACCTGGGGGACGTTTTTATTTCTTCTTTTTTCCTTTTTGATGTACTGGGGATTGAACTCAGAAGCACTTTACCACTAAGCTACATACCCACCTCTTTTTATTTATTTTATGTTGCAAGAGTCTAAGTTGCTGAGACTGGCCTTGAACTTGCAATCTTCCTGCCTCAGCCTCCAGAGTAGCTGGGATTATAAGCATGCACCACCACACCTGGCTGAGGACCCTGCTTGTCACYGACCCAGTGAGATGCAAGAAGAGAGCCCAGCCTGGCCATGTCATCAGACACCTGATAACCCACGAGTCCCAGGCTCCTCAGGAGGTTCAGGAGTGGATAGTTTTCCAGCAAGGGCTAGGAGGAGCCCAGATGAGCAAATGGCTGGCCACTCTGAGGAGGGGCTTCATTGACCTTGCTCACATCTGGTAACTGCCTGGATGCTAGTGCTCCTTGCCCTGGGATGACCCCTGTGTGGCATCCAAGCACAACTGCATCTGCTTCCCTTATSTCTGGGTCTTCAGCATCCATATCCCTCAGTACTCCCACCAGGCTCCCTGGGCTGGTGTCTGACTTCAATCATCCTCTCTCAAACCACACCCTGGTTTTCTTGCTGGATCTGAGCACAGGTTCCCTTATTTCCTTGAATCATTTGTAGTTCAGGATGCCATAGACAGACTTCCCTGGAGTCCTTCACCTTCCCCAGTATCCTGTGCTCTGCTTCGCGGAAAGGGTTTCTCCCCAAGTTGCCTGAGCCAGGACCTCCTTCCTTGTTTCCTGACCTCCTAGGTCACTAAGCTGTTCAGTCCTGGTCTGAAGAGGGGCAGGAAAGGGCTGGACATTTGGTGCTTGACCAAGGGGAGAGGAGAGAGTTGGGGCAGGAGAATGAGCAGGGAATGCTACAGGAGGAGGTTTAGTAGGTCCGCTGGTACCAGATGATACATAAGGGTTCATGTTGGCCATACTCATAGAGCACAGGAAAATAGGAGCTCAAAATTCTGGGTTGCCAACCATGGGCAGGTGTTCTAACCACAAGATTCCAAAAAAAAAGTGTGTTGCCAAAAATTTGACCCTGTTGCCTGCAAGTAACAGGCAAGAGCCAGGCTGATTCACATTCATATACCCGCCTCCCATGACACAAGCACAGAGATACTTGTGTAAACCACTCCTACACACCCATTGCCCACTCCACACTCTACCCCCCCCCACACACACACATGCGCATAGATGCCCAGGATTACAGGAGACAGAGGGTTATGTTTAGAGAACTAGATGGATTAACAAGAACTTAACTGTGCTGCCCAACAGTCCCAGCCTCCCTCTGCCCTCCCCGGGGTAGCCTCCCCTCCCCTCTGGCGCCAGAGCTCTCAGGTCAGTCTTTCACAGACACATACTGTCAGGGAGATTGGCAGTACTAGTAAYGGAGTCTTGATCAACGTATGCCTGAGTCAGGAGGCCCCAGCTCATTCCTTCTAGATAAGCATCACAGGTTCCTTCCCTTAATATTGAAATGGGATCACAGTCTCCTCCCATCAGGAGGGTCATCCGACCCTGCTGACACCAGGTAACTGTCTGAGGGCTAAAGATCCAGAGATAAGGGAAGCAAATTGTGTTAAGCTTGGGTGCCACCCAGGGGTCATCATGTGGTTCCCAGTTTGAGGCCCTCCCCAAAAGTCTTTTGCAGCTTCATACCTCACCCATAACTCAACACCTGATTCAACAAGGACTTTCTTTCTCCCAGCAAGTCCCCCTCTAATGCCACTTTGCCACCTTCCCCAGCCTAACCCTGAATGCTTAGAGCACTGTGAGATACCACTGCTGAGAATGGCAGGGATGCCACAGGGATCCATCTCAGGAAGGACAGAGACACCCTGGAGAAACCATCTTCCAATTCCTCAGTGTTCATGGGGTGCGGGGGAGGGGGTGTGCTTTAGAATTATCCATAATTTTTTTCAGTTTTTGTTTATGTGAATTTCTGTTATGTCTGTTATATTCCAACACACACACACACACACACACACACACACACAGTTAAACAAAGAAACACATCTCAATGAAGGGACAATGCCCTGAGCCGTCCCTCCATCATGAATCCAGAGGCAGAGCTTCCAATGCAGTCACTGAGGCTGGAATGTATGTTTTGTTACATTTTAGAACAATTGTCAATTATGGGACATAAATTTTCTCTAAGCAAGTAGGTGCTCACCAAGTGTTTGTTGAATGACTGAATCAGCTCTAGAATACATGCATAACAAGCATTTATACATTCATGTTGATGTGGCACTCTCCTCTAGGAAGCTGTCTATGATAGTGCCTATTCCCCTTCCAAATTACAAGCCTCCAGAAGCCAGAGAGCCTCAACCACTCCACATCCAACCCAGAAGGCAGTGTCCGGGGAGAGCCCACTGCCAGGGTTATCTGGTTCCTGGTTCTCTGTAGAGCTACTTCCCAGGCCCATGGCCCAGAGACTTCAGGTAGAGATGGATACCATTCTTGGAGCGCAAGACCAGCTGGRGCAACTTGATGGGCAACCGCGAGGGATCCAGAGAGAACTCAAAGCGGTGCAGACAGAGGGCTGTGACCACCTTTATCTCATTCATGGCAAACTGCTGTCCGATGCAGTTCCTACAGTGAACAGCACAAAGAGATTTGCTCCCTGGAGTGTTCAGATTGGTGAAATTCAGGACTCTTAGTAGCCAACAGAAATCAATAACTATTTTTGGTTGTGTAACTGGCTRGTGGATTGATTGATTTGGACTTAAGAAACAGATCTTGGGAGAATGATGAGGAGCCCAGGCTGAGTAGCTTTACACTGGGGATTCTGGTTTGAGGTCTCTCCTGGATGACTCACCCATCCCACCCGCTTCCCTAGGACAGGAATACAATAGTAAGAAAGTTCCCTGGAGTTTACCCTGCATGATGGTACCCACAAACCCAGCATGGTCCCCCCTCATCATGAAGCACTCCATAATGATGCCTCCCCCATGATGTCCTCCACCCCCCTCCACAGCCTTGAGAGCCTGAAGATGCTGGGTCTCTTCCTACCTGGGCCCAGCTGAGAAGGGAATGTAGGCGAAGGGGTGGCGTCCAGTCATATTTTCAGGGGAAAAGCGCAGGGGATCAAAAACCTAAGGGATCAAGCTTTGTTTAAATATCCACCAGGTCCTGGCATAGTATAAGCCCCATACCCTCCCCCACCCAGTCTGACTTCAGGCCCAGAGATGGAGTACCTCAGGGTCAGGCCACACTGTGCTGTTCCTATGGAGGGCATAGATGTGCAGAGAGATCAGGCTGCCTGTAGGTGGAACAGAGGCCTGGTGACAAGGTGTTCCTGGAGCAGCTAGGTCCCCTCCACATAAAGGCTAAATCCTCTACTATCCACTGCCAGTGACGGACAGCTTATGTTCACACTCACTCATCAAAGTACCTTGATCATCATCATGACTGGTTCCTATAGACCCAGCACTGGGCATGGTCCTGACACAGACATTGTGGAAAGAAAGAAAGGAGAAATGAACCCACCCTACCATAAAGTAGGACAGACAGGGTCTTCATATCCTTGCTGCTTTCAATGAACTCTCAGAAAGCTTATTATTCATAAGATTATGTTATCAATAGTAACAGCTACCAATCACTGGTATGTCCTACGTGTTTGGTTGGGTGGAGGTCTGCACACTCTTTACAGCGCCATCATGTATTGCTGTGTATGTTGTACACTGCACAACATCATAGTCTATGTGAATCTTGTCCCCTGAAGTTGTCTAGAACTCAACCTGGGTCTGCACRGTGGTGCTGGAGAGTCCTGATGAACATTGTCTCTTAAATCCTGACAACAACCTTGAAAAGTAGCTATTCTCCTCACCCCTATTTTACATAAGAGGAAATGGAGGCTTAGAGGTAGAGGAACTTATTCATATGTTATGAAGCTGGTTTGACCCAGGGCTCTGAATGCAAAGCCTGAGCTCTTTCCCTTTGGTGCAAAAATTTGACCAATAGTCTAGGAGGTTTCAGAAGAGGATCCAGAGGACTCTGATTCTACTCCCACAAACCCACCCCATCCCACCTGCAGGCAGCGAGCGACCATCCACAAAGTTGACAGGCTTGCTAAGCTGGCGGTACACCTGGGGCACAGGTGGGTAGAGACGGAAGCTCTCCTTGATGCACATAGTCAGGTAGGTCATCTTGCCCAGATCATCCCTGCCAGTAACAGAGGACACTGGGKAATGGGGGGTAGTAGAATCCTGGAAGAAGATAGACCCCAGCCCCAGCTTCCCACCTCACCACCACCATCCATCCAAGAGTCAGAGGGGGCACAAAAGCTCCAAGTGCCCAGCCAGATCAGACACAGTGTGGCCACTCAGCCCCAGCAATCTGGCCCCACTAGCTCCCATCCCCTCCTCATCTTTGCTGCTAGRAGAGGAAGGCACAATACCCTAGAAATGTATGCATCCAGCCATCAAAGACAAGGACAGATCTATGTACGTATCTCAGGACCCCATCAAAGCCCCACAAGGGGCAATTCTGTAGGTTCTGCTAGTTTCCTCTGCAGACTTGGAACAGAAAGGACAGGAGTGTATTTTGATTGAATTAACCAACCGACATTCCTGAATTGTTCAATGGGT